CCATCATGATGAGTACCATCTCGTTCTTCTCGCCGATGATTATATCAGCCGCATAACCAAACGACACGCCAAAGCCTGGCTCGTGAATACGGATCATGTCGTCGTACGAAGATGCATCTAGTGCAACTACAGGAAATCTCAACTCTGGTCGTTCTATATGCAATTGGCACTGCTCGTCTCTATGTACGCGCCAGAACGGTTTATCGCTCTTGAAAACAGTACGAGTAGAGGTTCTTTCACACAGCGTGTGGAGCGAGTGCGGAACCACGTCCTTGAGTTCATACGGCAAGTCCGACCAGTACAATCTGCTAGTAGAAGGCATCGTAAAGTGGTTCGATTCACCTTGTGGATCACAGCTAGCATCTTTCATGGTAAACAGAAAGTCTTTTTCACGCTCATAACGGCATGTGACGGTATTTCTCGTCATTTTACCGCCATTTTCCGCAGTACTGTGCAAAAAGATGTTTTTCAATGGGTGACGGGAGGAACGATTGGCAATCGACAGCGACCCCGAACAACGGCACAACACTTGTGGAACCCCCCGCCGCATTTCCTTCAACTCAGAAAGAGAAGGGTCAATAGTTGCACAAGAGAGAGTACCAGCATCGACCAGGACAAGGTACGGAGAGAACAGTAGAAGGACTAGAATTTCCTGAATGCGAGGTTGCATTGAGAGAAGCAAAAATCAACCTGAAACGCCTTCCTGCATTTAAACTTCAATTTCATCATCGCCCACAACGAACTAGTGTCGATTCACTCTCGACGAAACAACATAGGAAAGGTTTCTGGAACAAACTCTGATAGTAGCATAACTCAACATCATTGACAGTACATCAAGTAAGAATACATGGACATCAACAACCATATATATACACACATGTATACTCCGATATTCCCTACTCACCCAGTGAAAAACATATCTCAACTTCTCTCTCTTGTGAGATTCACTAGAGCTGCTGTGGCTCACCACCGTAGTCGACTCTCACCCTAAGGATATGAGTAATGCGAAGATAAAGCGGTTTGCTTCGGGTCCTACCAGTCATTATCCATACTAGTAGTGTTGAGTGTGAAGTGTTCCAAATGGTCTACAAAGAGCAGTGACTTCACTCTAGAGACGAACTCGCTCAACTACCTTGCAGCTCCTCTCGAGAGGCTTCCCTCAGAATGGAGAAGGACGCGAACGAGGTATATCTGGTACGAATTATCACCATCCTGGTTTTTGTGAAGCCAGTGCGGTATTCGCCGAACAAAACGTGAGTCTCATCGCTTCTCCCCAGAACGTCATGCCACTTGGCAGCTTTTGTCGGGTCATCACCTCGAACTTTCTTCAGAGAGCCGTCATTGAATTTCATATACCATTTGGACCCGTCACCTCTGCCAAGCCTCCAAGCTTTGACCTTTGGAATATCACTTATGAACAGGACGTTCTCTTTTCGCCGAGTGCCCTCCATTCGCTTAAGCTTTTTCATTCTATACTCCCGACCGGTTGAAACAGCCACGAGTTCTTTTGACACTGCTCGATAAGTGAAGTCCACGGACTTGTGTTCAGGATCAAAAATTTTAGAGCGTGATGGAGACCGATAAACATTGGAACCCAACACGATATCCATCTTCGTGGATTGTGTTAGTATCTCTCTTACTTCGCCGTTGTCCTGAACCTTGTTGATGAAGAGGTGGTAGAGAGTATGATCCTCCTTGTCGAAAGCTCCACACAAAATCTCTGGCTGCCACTCTCGCTGTTTCGCTACATCGTGCAACAGTGAGCAACGAACGACATCAGTGAGGCGTGCATGATGGGGAGTGA